GGACCACATCAAGTTTGACCTGGAGATTGCCGTGGAGCAGCAGCTGGGAGCCCAGCCGCTGCCTTTCCCCGGCATGGATAGTAAGTGCTGGGATGCTAGCTGGTACTAAACCCGCTGCGGGTTAACCTTAAGCGGAATTAACGGTAAAAGTGACGAGGGGAGAGTTGACCGCCACTGACTACTTATGTTCATTGACCCTGTGATCGTGTGTGTCTCTGCAGAGTCCGGGTCTGCTGTGTGTGAGTTCTTCATGAGAGCTGCGTGTCAGAAAGGTAAAATAACAACATGGTCTCAACTCTGTGGTGATGTCACTGCAGCGTGAACGGCCCCAACAATGAACTCTTTAACTTCCGTAAAGTTAAAGTTTAGACACTTCACGCCACTCAAACGCACAGATCGGTGCTGGCTGACCTTTTTCTAAATACAGCCTTAGATATACTGTTTACGCACGGCTACAGTAGCCTGCACCTCACTGATTTCCAAGAATAGCCTATTTTCATAATGTTGTGAATTATATTACTCCTCTTAATAGCTTCAAGGGAAATGACCTTTCCCCCCATCTTTATTAAGCGCTTTTGTAACGATTCCAATCCCTGCCATTAGGCCAGTCTCTGCTGATCTCAAAATGTCCAAATTTAAAGTACTAAATTGTGTTTTAAGTGATCAGCATGACACTGAGAGCCATGTGTGTCTTAATGAGGAGAAGGTCAAAGAGCACACTGTGTCTCACAGGTGGGATGTGTCCGTTCCGTCACATCAGTGGAGAGAAGACAGTGGTGTGTAAGCACTGGCTCAGAGGTCTGTGTAAGAAGGGAGACCAGTGCGAGTTTCTCCACGAATACGACATGACCAAGATGCCTGAATGCTACTTCTACTCCAAGTTCGGTGAGTTGACATCATGAGTGCATTTATTTGGTTAAACTTTGCACAGATCTTGTCAGATGAATGCCGTACTGATTAATGTTTTGTTCTGCGACCCTCACAGGTGAATGCAGCAACAAGGAGTGTCCTTTCCTACACATAGATCCAGAGTCCAAGATCAAAGACTGTCCCTGGTATGACCGAGGCTTCTGCAAACACGGTAAGGTCAAATTCTGGTACTAATACCACAAACCCACTGCTTATAGACGTAGCCTGTCTGTTCTGTGGTTTAAATGGAGAAAAACACAGTACGTCTTATTATGTCCTCAACTGTGTCTCCGTCTTCTTACCTCAGGTCCTGACTGCCGACACCGACATACCAGAAGGGTGATCTGTGTGAACTACTTGGTGGGCTTCTGTCCAGAAGGAAAGTCCTGTAAATTTATGCAGTAAGTAGTCCTTTTACATTTACTTCCTACACAACAGGTATGATTCCTGATAGGACCTCTGCTCCACATTAAGTTGGTTAAATCTGCCAAGCAATTGTGCAGGAATTTCATTACATTTCACTCCAGTATAAATGGTCTTTGTTTGATTTTATAATGATGGATAGCTGGATTAAAAGCTTCTTGAGACTTCACCCTGCAGTGACGTAAATTATACGTTGATGTTCCTCCACAGCCCCCGATTTGAGCTGCCTATGGGCGCTTCTGAACAGCCTCCTCTCCCACAGCAAAACCAGAACCAGGCAAAGGTAAGAATGCACACAAACACTCAAATGATGCATCCCAATGCCGGCGTGGATCCATCTCAGAGGATGAATCAGCATGACTCTCGGTGCTTCTATTTAACTGTTCGTTCCTGTTGCTGAGGTGCACAGTGAAAACAGTCTCTCTGCTTGCCTCCTGCCGCAGCCCGTGCCTACCATTGGTCGCTCGTCGCTCTCCTTAATCCAGCTCACCAACTCCATCCCACCCCAGCGGCAGCAGAACAACACGACTACTGTGTCTCAGCAGAACAATCTAAATGCCAACAGAGGGCCTCGTCCGCTGGACCAAGTCACCTGCTACAAGGTGAGTCGGCTGTACATCTGTGCGATTAAAGCTATGCCAGTCTCTCGCTTTGGTCGTAATTGCAATCATTAATCAAACTGTGGTTGGTTATATTGCCAAAGCATGCACCGGCCATACATTTAGATCATTAAAACCATAATTTTCTCAAGTTTAGATGCACTTGTAAGGTTTTACCTATAATACTGGTTTCCTCTGCGTGGTTGCAGTGAGCCTTGAATAAGATGGATCACTGGTGCTCTTGTGAATTTATCCAGCTTCTTAAAGGGGAACAATTTTCTGAATTTCTTGGCTCTCCACAGTGTAGTACTTTACACATTTGCCTAAAAGCAAAAGATGGTAACACAAATCTCTTTGGGATGAAAAATGTGCACAAGAGTCTGGCTCCTCAGTTCAAACACAATCTGGAATCATCAGTTTTAAGTTTGCTTCCCACTTTTTTTGATTGGCTGTCTCTTGCAAATTGTATGCTGAACATGTATGAATGTGGGTGGAGCAGCTGTTCCAACTGGGGTTTTGGGTCATAGGGTTTACTTGGACATTCACTGATATCATTATTTAAAACCTTGTACACTTTTAACAGAGCCACCAATCTCACAGCACATATGACTGTAAATAAAGAAGGGAAAACACCCCTAAAACAATCTCCTTTAAAAATAGAGGATTTGTTCTTTTTTTCTCGCTACTGGGAACAACTGGAACATGCAGTAAATGTCGTTAATTACTTCATTTCTGTCTTCCTCTTGTTTGCAGTGTGGCGAGAAGGGCCACTATGCCAACAAATGCACTAAGGGCCATCTCGCCTTCCTGAGTGGTCAGTAACCTTCAGCCGAACACCTCAGTGCTGTAGCGCACCACCCCTGATGTGAGCAGAAGAGAGAAGGGGGAAGACTGCTCTACATGCTGGTGTTTCTTAAAGACTAACTGCCGCCCGACAGACACGGACAGTGGGAGGGGGGCCTGTGGACACATGAAAGTGACAAGAAAAAAGGTCGCCCGGCCTGATTTGCTGGGTTTGTACAGTACAGGTGACTTTGAAGAGTCACTCCCAGGGTCCAGACTGCTGCAAACACCAATACAGGTGCTGTTGTTCCTCGGGTCATGTGACTGCAACTGCCATGTTCCAAGTCTGACCGTGAAAAAAAAAAAAATTGAACAAATGTGATAAACATCTTAGGAATGTAATTTAGCTTGTACTCAGTGCCCAAATCCACACTAGCTACAAAGGTCTCATTCTGGACATTTCAGCCTCGGTTTAGCAGCTGTGTGTGGCAGGTACGGCAGTGCAGAGCAGCTGGAAGAGACGCTTTGTTGACAGTCTGAACATATTCTGTCTGTACAAATAAATGTTCTTGTTTCAGATTATTTATATTTTTACCCCTCACACTTCTGATCTTCTCATAGCCACTTCTGAGATTTACACAGTACACTCACCCCACACAATACACAACATAACAGTAAATCCTTATTTTTATTTTTATTGGTCACAACAATCACATATGAACAGAGCCGCGGATAGAAAGAGCTGACGCGTTCCTGAAGGGGCTCAGTGGTACTTCCTCCAGCGATCGTGTTCTACAAGAGAAGAAGCAGAAGTCATTTAAAATATTAGCTTTTTTTTCACCAGTGAGGTTAACTGACAGGAGTGCAAAGAAAGAAAAGAGGCTCTGTAAGCGAGTGTGTTTCTTACTGATGTGGTCGTATTCCCACAAGTAGCTGATGGCCACGTAGCCCACGAGCAGCATAGCTACACCACCGATGCCCCCCTTCTTCACATTGATGTACTTGTTGTAGTATCTGTCATGGCCTAGAAGAGAAAACAGCATGGTCAAGTGTCCTGTTTAGTATTCAATACATGCAAGAGGAGCACTCATTCTGTGACCTTAATTACTACTGAGGCCACATTCTCAAATTAGTCTCCAAGTATAAGTAAAGCTACTAGTACAGGGGTCAGCAACCTTTACTGTCAAGAGACATTTTTCAGCAATTTGTGATTAAAAAAAAAAAAAAAAAACCACAAAGCATGAGCCTCATGTAAAGAAGGATACTGAAATTATTAAGTGTAAAGTCGCCTAAAGGAGTAGATTCTTACTCTCCAGTGGGCTATTTCTGATTATTTTGTACTTCAATTCTGGATTTTCACTTTATTTTACTTATTACTAACAAAACAGAAGAAAAGTGGAGTTAAAAAATTAGCATTTTTAAATCCACTTTGAGACAGAGCAGGTATAATTTTCAACCCAGGTTTCTGTGCAAATCAATTTTAAGGGGGCCCAATCAGACAATATATCAAACAAAGTGAAATAATCTAAAAACTTTAAAACAGTCAATTTTCAAC